TGAGACTTTATAAAAACTTCTCCTTTCTCCTACTCTCATTACTTATTCCTCTAATCAGTCTTATCTTCCCCAACCTTACAATCACTGAGCGGATTTCAGATTTTTTTTTTATTCCCTACTCTGGACTGATTTCTGTTCAGTTTTAGCCCCCTAAATCTACCTTCCTCTTTACTACCACAATGCTGCATTCAAACCACTAATTCAAACCTTACCAGGTAACAATGAAGTGTTCTCTGCATGTACCTAACATACCATATTCTAAGTTTCTCAGGAGCAGGAACTATCTTAATCATCTTTATAACTGAAGTACCAATATGCTAATGACATGTAAGAGGCACTTAACGACTTTTTAAACAAAAAATTCAGATATACCAAAATTACACCACAGATTAAATTGCTATCATAAGTTTTATCATGGTGCTCAAATCATTTATTATAATAAATTACATTGTCACCTTTGATATAACTAATGACATTTTCTTTAGAGTTTATGCTAACCGTGAAAATCTATGCTGCCCAGAGAATATCAGTGATCCTTGGAGTTCTCATTTTCATCTTTTGGATCAAGTATCCATGCAAAGTAACATACTAATGATAGAAAAGACTAATTAGAAAGCAGTTTTGAGTTATTTCTTTAATCCTCCTATTCCAATTTCTACTCACTTAAAAAACATGGCTCTTGAAAAATAAGACAAAATTTTCCTATTTGTTATAAAACATTATGTTAGAAACAGGACATCTCTCTTCCAATACATAGTTTAACATTTATGAATTTCAATTGCTCCTTTTTTCTTTGGAATTAGCTCTCTTTTCTCAAGATGCCAACACTATCTCTCTAAGTATGTGAACATTTACTACATTGATTTTAAGAATCAACATTATTACTATAGACTAACTGTACCATCCTTCAAGGCTTTATTTCACTAAAATCACCCTAATCCAATACCTTCCAGGAACTGAAGGATCAGAAACTAGTTTCTGGTTTGCTAGACCTCACACATAAATTTTTAAAGTCAAAGTCAGAGTTTTCTTGGTTTTGATTTTGTAGTGTTCCCTAAGGAATCAAAACCAAGAAAAGTAAGTATGATTAGAAAAACTGTTAGGAACCAGAAAGAAGAACATTACAATTCAAGGGAAATTCCTTTTTACGAAAACCACAATATAGAATTTATGCCAGGCTTGCTCCACGTCTGCAGGGGAGACAAGCTCAGGGTTGCCATAAGTTTCCCCATTAGCCATCAGGATTTTATTAGATCCTGTATGTAGCCTCTTGAATTTCTCTAGTGGCCTCTCTTTGGGAATTACATGAAATGCTATTTCCAGAATTATTACAAGTTAGGGTATCTGAATTCCTTAGTTTTAAGAACTCCATCTTCTATCAGAGGTGCCAGCAGCTGCCAATTGTCACAGGCGATAATCACTTTCTGATCCTCATCTCCCTCTTCCTCTATAATGTCTGACCCAACAGACCCTTCTCTTCTTTTTGAAACACTTCCTAACTTGGTTTCAATGATGACACTCTCTTGGGGCGGGGAGGGAGTAAGAGGAGTGGCTTTTTATTGGTTCCTTCTGTGCAAGATCCCTCAGAGTTAGAATAAGCCAGAGCTTGGTCCTGCAGGCCCTACTTCTCTCTAGTATCTCTCTCCTGGTGATGTTCTCAAGACCCTGATTCTAAATTTGCATCCACAGACACTGGATTCCCAAATGTCTATATTCAGCTATGACTTCTTCCAAATGCTCCAGATTCTTATACCCAAAAGCCCATTTTGACATTCCCACTTAGATACCTAAAAATGCCTCAAAGGGCTGAAAATGAATCCTTTAAATGTGTTTTTCTCCTAGCTTTATCCGTCTTAAGTAATAGCATCACCGTCTACCTAGGATCATCAGTATAAAGACTGCGGATCACTTCTGTTCTTCCCTTTCTTCATCCCCATCCCTTACCCACGTCATCAGCAAGTTCTGGCAGCTCTGCCTTGAGATATTTCCTGAATCTGTCTACTTCTCTCCAGGACCACTCATCTATGCCCCGTCATCTCTGGTCTACTGGAAGAGCCTCCTAACTGGTCTCTCTTCTATTCTGCTCACTCTACAATATATTCTCTTCAAGAAGGCCAGTGTGATCTTTCAAAAAGCTGGCATCCTCTGAGCTTTACCCTGTGCTGGATCACACAGAGTACCTCTTCCTTCCCAGGTCACTCTCATTATTTTACATTTGAAAAACATTTGTTTTACTTGCACTGAAATTTTCATATTTCAGTTCATTTATTGACTTAGGTGTCTATCTCCCCAAACTAGAATGTAATTTCTATGATTTTAGCCTCTATTATCCACAGGCTTAGAGGAATACCAAGGTTTGTAGTATGTTCAGTATTTGTTCAATGAATTTTCAACAGACAGTATATAAATCATAGTGTCTTCTCATTTTATTCGGAGTAAAAATCAAAAGCCAACATGTTTAATTAGGATTTTCAAAGCCCTTTGTGATCTGGTCTCATTATCACCTCTCTCCCATTTTTTATTACCCTTCCCCTCACCTCTCTGCGCCAGGTACACAGGTTTCTTTACTGTTCTTGGAAGATAACAGGCAAGCCCCTGCTTGTTGTTTGGGAATCTCTTCCTCCTCATAAGGACATGCATCTCTCCCTGACTTTCTTCAGACCAATATTCAAGTATCACCTTTTCTATAAGCCTTTCACTGGGCACCTGATATAAAATTTCCACACACCGTGGGCCATGCCACTGACACTTTCATACCTCCTCTGTTTCATATTCACTCCTTAGCCCTTATCTCTAATATACCCCAGAGTCAACTTGCTTGACACTATTAATACAAGTTTGTTGAATTAATGAATAAGAAACTTAAATTATTTTTTAACTAAGTATTGAGTAATTGCTTATTTAAAAAAAGACAGTTTATTGAAGGTATTTTTGGCTATGTGTTAAAGTTTTTCTCATTATTGGTAATCTAGAGAAGTTTCTTTCATTTAAGGAGGGGCATATGAGAGAAGGTTAATATTTGGAGAACATAAATGATGATAACAAAGGGTGTGAAACAAACGAAGTAATACTGTCAACTCCATTTATGGGCTTTACAATAGGTTTTTATTATGCCTCATGATGTTACTTCCTGTTACTAGATAATAAGTTTCAGTTCCACACATCAATTATGAGAAAAAGGTATTCTCATATAGCCACCAACTCTGGAAAATGATGTACTCTTCATGAGAAACAGTTGGCTTGTCCTATTTTTACTGCAATTGTTTTCGTGCACCTCAACCTCAGAATTACTTGCTTAACCACTGAACTATGGTTAACTTACCCCGATGAGTCAATTCAAGAAACTGGATTGTGAACTAAGCTTTATGCGAGTAGCTGGTCTATGTTTCTTATTCTACTGGTTTGAAAGTCCAAAAAACCTAAGCAGAAATTTGCCAGAGTAAAGATGGGAAAAGAAAACGTTTCTGTTCTGAACCCCCTGGGGCTTTGGACGACTTCCTCTTTTCCAGAAGAACAGTTAAATAAATGAAAAGCAATTCAGAAACCAGCAGATAATTTTAGCATCTGCTGGTATGCCAAAGAGCTGAGATCAATTATATTGGGGTTACCTTCCCTCTCAGGTCAAATATTCCTGTTCCAGAAATGACCTGTCAGAGTGTTGCGGTTTGCTTACATTTGACAGATTCCCTTTATTCCTTCTTGGCAGCTATGAGAACAGGCTCATCCGGTTTCATCTGAAATGTTTTCTTTTTGAAAGCAATGATGGCAGTATTTTATGGGAAACCACAGTTAGGCAAAACCCCTTATTAATATTAAACTGTCAAGATTATCCATTTTGAGTCATCCATAAGAACCCCTCTTGCCTCCAAGAAGGGCTGTTCACATCTGGGTAGAGGATACTAGGATACTATGAAAAATTTTCAGGGAGAATGGCATGAGACAAGTATGGCTCTCACGGCATGCTATCATTTGGACTTTATAGTAACAATTCAATAAACTTAAATACCTGAGGCTAGACTGCTGAAGTTCATCTTCTCTGTCACCTTTTAAAATTTAGAACCACACAACCATATCTATCCAAATATTCATGAATATGCATGAGTTAACTAAACGTTTAAGAACAGTACACATTTTTGTTTTAAACAGAACTACATCAAAATCAGACCATTATGTTAAATAATAATTGTGTTGCTAAAAATCCTGAAACTATAGATTATTAATTTGGGCTTAATTTAATAATGCAGCATTTTACCAACAGGAATCTTGTACCCTTAATTTTAGATTTTGAAATTAAAAGCTAGTAAATATGTCAGAGGTGTGGTGACTTTTAACCAAACCCAGCTTTTTTCTAGGAATGCAGCCTCTAGCTTTTGCTAGTTACATTTCACCTGCTTCAATAGTTTTCAGATCATTAAATAACCTACTGGGTGGAAAACTCTTGGAAGCTATTGTGACCACTGGAGGAAATACACATGCACACAATCTAGTAGCTTGCAACACCTGGATCAGAGAATGCAAATAACTGAGCACATTGGAAGACAGAAACTACTTTGATTTCTCTGCGGCTCTTTCGCCTGAGGAAGTGCAGTGGAAGTCCTCTCTCTTGCCTAGCTTGCCCCCACTAAATCTGCTCTCCTTATATGAAACTCTAAACACATCATCATTAATACTGTTGTTATTTTTTTGTTCTTTCCGAGATGCAAATAGAAGGAAATCGACATCGCGGTGCCCAGTTTTGCTTTGCTTTGTTTTATCCTAACCAGCTGTTTGCTGTGATCTGAAAATACCCGAAGACGCGCCTAGCTTTCTGGTGCCCGGCGTGCGCCCACACCCCGCCTGCCCGGCGGCCGCCGATGCGGTCCGGGCGCCCCCGGGCTCCGCGCGCGCTCCCGGTGGCCGCCGCTCCACGTCCCACTTTCCCACGCGGGCTCGCGGCAGAGTGCACCCCGGCTGGGGGGCAGCGCGCTCCAGCGGGCCGCAGCCCGGCCTCCCCAACTCACCAGCCTGCGGGGCTCCCCGGGAGCCAGCTGGCGTCTGGTCACAGGGCTCCTTGCCCTCTGCCCGCCCTGGAACCCCGGGGCTTCCCAGCAGCCGCGGCCCGGGCTCTGCTCACAGCGCACCCGCCGTGTGGACGGCTCCTGCTGATTGCAACCTGCGGCGCAGGATCGGCCCCCGGCCCCTGCCCGTCGGCACGGCAGGCGGAGGACCTGTGGCGCCACCCCCAGTCGGCCGCGACGCTGGATCGGGAGGCTCGTGTGACCCGAAGGCGTGTCTCCGGGTCCGACGCGGACGTGCGGGGCTCACCTCGGGCAGCGCGCGCTGGTGACTCAACCGCGCTTGGCCTGGGGATGAATACTCCTCACAGCGGGGCCTCGAGCCTTAGCAGCGAGCTCATTTTTATTCCTTTATTTCGCCGAGTTTTCTTTGCTATCCCTTATTCAAGGAGCCCAGGGCACTGTGAGAATTACTCCCAGGGCATTGCTCGCTCTCCTCCCGGGCATGACTCATTAATAGAGAGCAAGGCGTTGCCAGTGAGCACAGGGAGAGGCCTCCGGAAAATCAGGCAGGAGTTCAAAGAAATTACTATTGTAAAAGTTAGTCTCTGTTTATATGAACGTGAATACATTAATCAGCAACATCCTAACCTTTGCCTCCTAAAGTCACGTCAGAGATGGTAGGTTAGTAAATAAGAGGTCGTACCTATGAGAGTAAAATCAGGAGCACATGCAGTCACTGGACAAATACCGATTAAGCACCTGTTACGTGGCAGACCCCGTGGCACACACCTCGGGTTCATCCAATCCACAGCAGAGGTCCTGGCTGGCTCTCTTGAGGTCACAGACAAACCCTGACGCCCCTAGTTCACAGGCCGATGGCACGGGAAGACCCCAAGGTTGTATGCGTGTAACAGCATTTGATTTATTCCCATGTAGAAAATTTTCAAGTTCCAAACTCGTTGCTAGCATGTCTTCGTAAACAACGAGAAGACTGCTTACATTTTGATTGTCTAACCCAGTTCTGGGAGGGTGCCTTAGGGACAATCCGGGAAGCTCTGCCATTATCTGCTAGGGAGCATCTCCCTGGAAGAGCCCAAACCAAAACCAAATGCAAACAAACCAGAGCAAAGTCATAGAAAAGAGACCTGGAGACGCCGTCCTGTCCCCTGCGATGATATGGAAAAGCATTCTGTCCCCTAGGAACATACGGAAGAAATTCTGTTTTGTTGTGCAATTATTATCTTGAAAATGGGGATTTAAAAAATACCTTTGTAGGGTGATTATATTTGAGTTCATGTCAGCAAAGTGCATAGAACAGTGCCTGACACAGTAAATTCTATGTGTGTGTTGGCTTTACTTCTAATTTTGGTAGCACTTGTCTACCCCATTCTCCCAAAGGAAGGTCTACTTCACAGAAATCATCCTAGTCTGCTAGGAGAAAACATGGGAGGTTCAGGTTATAGATTTTTTCAATATATGTGCTGAGAATCTATTTTTATGGTAATCTATCAGCAATATCTAAATTTATAGCAAGTGTGTGTCAATGGGCCTGAAGAGAGAGAAAAGAACATAACAATATTGAATTTATTCCACTGCAGACAGCACGTTAATTTACAAGGGTTCTCTGTGCTGTAGCACGGTAATCTGTATTTGGCACCTAGTTTATGTGTTCACTTAACTCACATTAATCCTAACAGCTATGGTTTCCTATATCAAGAGTTTTAAAGTACGTGACTAAGGAGTTAATAAATAAAAATATGACTTTGTCCATAGATCATCTCTTTGACTTTCACAACATTGCTTTTTTTAGGCAAAGTGTCTATGTTGTTTTTATTGTTCCCATTATAAAAAAGGAGAAAGTGAGGTTGAGAAAATCCCAACAATGTGCCCAGAATCACGAAGGTCCATAAAAGTACAGCTCAGTCGGCAGATCCTGAAGGCGGAGCTCCCAGCCGTCACTCCACTGTGCTGCCTCCCTACTGTTCTAGAAAGAGTGGCTGCCGTGAGACAGTCTAACACATATGTTTATCGTCTGCTGTCCTTGTCGCCCTTCCCAGATAAGTGTGTCAGCTGCCTCGCAGGGTTAACTCTTACACAGAGACAGCTCTCCTAGAGTCACCTGCCACATAAGCCTGCCTCTCAGGTTCTGAGGCTCAGAGTCACTAAGTGATTCACAGCGATGCTACTCAGCTATTGGAGGGGGTAGAACTTTTCTGTCCCATTGGGGAGAGAGGTTCTGAGGAAAAATTAGTGGGAGAACATGGGAGAAATGATTCTTGGCCACCGCATAAAGGCCACTTTGACTAGAGGTACAGCAGAATAAAAGATCTTGGAAAAGCAGTGAAAACAAGGTGACAGCATCATGTGTCATAATGACAGACAAATACCTTCCTGTATGTGGAGCTTATGTAGCGCAAATTAAATAGACATAATTTCTGTCAACAGGTTTATCATTCAATAAATACAGTACTGAGGTAAAAAGATATGTAAATGCACATGGGAGACTTCTGATTAACAATGGTCAATTGATCACGTGTGATTCATTTCTCCTTCCCTAAATTCTCTAACACAAGAATAATATTTTCAATGCTATTAAATCATAAAAACAAGTAAAAGGGAGTGGAAACATTAAAAGACAGAATAAACCGTGATGAGTGGTTGGAAAAACCTAAGTCAGATGGAAACTTGGTAAGTGATTTGAAAAAGAAGTATTTATGCACGACTTGCATAGGAGGACTTGTGGATAAGCAGCAAGACAATTCTCCCTGCACAAGCCTGGAGGCTCAGGAGGCAGAAGTGCTACCATAGAAAGAGACCAGGTGGTGGGATGAACACAGCTGTTAGGTTAGATGCCTGCATTTCCTGACCCAAAGTTCTTGACCCAAAGTTCCCTTCCCCACTGCCATGCAATCAACCAACCATTAGTTCCTCCATCTGCTCAACTCAGCCTGCAGGAGACGGGAGATTTATTTTCTGGACAAAGTAAGCTAGAATAATTTGTGGTTTAACAAGATGAACTGAACACATACATTTTTACTCTGCTCCTATAGAAAATAAACTAGAAACAAATGTATATACAAAACAGGAAAAAACTCTTGAAGTTTAAAAAAAATTTTTTTTAATATGTTCGATGGGTTGTAAGATTCAGTTGAAAACAATCTTCAGGAAAATAGAACAGAAAGCTATGTAAATAAGAAATTGGAGAAAAGGGAAACTTTTTCTGACTATGGGAATCCTGAGAATTCCAGAAAAGAGTTCTTTTTATCCAGAAAGGGATGGAAAAATTGATTAAAAGACTAATGCAAAAACAATTCCGGAAGTGAAGATCATGAATCTTTTGGATCAAGAGTTCCTCTAATAGTCCAGGAGAATAAATTTTTTAATTAATTGATTAAACTCACTAATCTGCATCATTTTGAGATATTAGAGGCCCAGGAATAAACAAAAGAACCTAAAACACCTTTCAGAAACATAAAGCAGATCACATACAAAGGAAAAGAGTAGAAATTGCATTGGCAGTCTCAAGAGCAGTAAAAGATCTAGAAGATTCTTTAAATGCCTTCACATTTTAACAATGAAATTATTTTGAACTTAGAATTATATACCCAGAGAAAATGTCAGCCAAATGCGATTTAAGATATTTTTAAGACATGCAAGAATTAAAAAACACTTCTGGGGCCATTTTTAAAGAAGGATTCCCAAAACAACCATATAAATCAAGAAAGAGGAAGAGATGGAACCCACGTCCAGCACAGGAGATTGTAAAGTGAATTCTCCTGAAAAATTGTGAAGCAGGCCTAGAGAGAATCAAAAGGATGGATTGCAGTAGGGAAGACTCCAAGAAAGAAAAGAAAAGAAAAGGAAAATAATGTGTACTTGATGTACACATACATTTGAAAAGTCGTCAATAAATATCTGTGCAGCAGAGCTTAAACAGTGTTCATCTGATCGCATGTTCTTCTCTTTTTCTTTCTTTTTCATTTCTTAGCCCTTTGCAGGTAGGGAGGCAGGTAACTGAGTTCTAGCCAATGGTATACGGGCAGCAGTGATGTCCACCACTTCCAGGCCATTGCCATAAAATGACCTATAAGATCCTCGGTACTTTGCCTCTTCCCTTGTTAGTGTCCAGACACAAAGATTAAGCAAAGAGCTCTGAGGATCTAGAAGACATTAAAGTCTCAAGATGAAAGAAATCTGTGGTTCTGAATGATTATGTGGCATAAAAACCCTAGCTGCCACATTTTTGCACTGTGATATGAGCAAGAAAGAAACTTACACTGTATAAAGCCCCTGAGATTTTTGGGTTTGCTTGTTAGAGCAGTTAAACTATTCTGTTATTGCTTGAAAGGTCATTTGGGGGCATTTTTCACTGAATGATTTACAGTAGGTACAAAGCATGCTAAACAAAGTGAAAAGAGGGTATTACTAACTCCAGGAAAAACAAAAGGTTATGAGCAAAAAGAAACTTGATATCATACCACTTCATTCAAATGTGGATATAATCAAAATAATAGGAACAAGAGAGGAACCCCAAACTATGGTATAACTATATGTAAAGGGCGGGGATAAGGAAAGAGATTTGCATACATATGTGTGGAAGAAAGCTAAATCCTCAACTATTTTAATAAAGTCAAGTGTGTAAAACTGCTAAATAAAGAAATAGGGTAAGCAAACTATTTTGAAATATGTAAGTCTGAAATAAAAAAACCACTAAAAGAGTTAAATGTTTTCCTTTGGGGATTGAGACTGGGGCTGAGGAGATCTGCACTACTTTATAAGAACTTTACACCTTTTTAAAAAACTGTGAGATGTATTATCTTGATAAAAAAAATTATACTGCAGTAGTCTTAAAACATAGAGGGAAACGAAAGCTATTTGTTCAGTAGAGAAAACATTACAATTCAGTAAATGATTTGCATATGTTTTTTTGCCTAATTGACCTATAAGTAGTGGGGAATGTGAATTTGGAAGGCAGACCACAGATAGATTTAAGAGTTTTGCACAGTCATTTATTCACTCAACAAACATTCGTTAAGTTATGTAACATGTGCCTGATACTCTGATAGGCATGGGAATAAAGTGGAGAACACGAAGGGACAGTGTATGGTGCCCTAAGAGAAAACGAGCATTTTAAAACTCAACAAATGTATTGGCCGCCTTCTCTCTTGTCCTTAGTGACAGGAGCCACTGACTTAATATTTTGGTCAAGATACTACCTTTTATCTTTCAAGATACTCTTAAAA